CCATACCATACCAATTCATTTCTATGGTGCATTTAGAAACAGCTTGGGAGCTGACCAAAGCGCCTCTCAAACAACAACAAAGTTAAAAAAAAAAAAAAAAAACTTTATAAATAGTCACAATCTAAAAGCCAAGTCATTGAAGTGGGTCTTCAACTGTGACTTGATGGATGACGACTGTAGAATGGTGATTGGAGGTGAATTCCAGAGAGTGGGCACTGCATACACAAAGGCTTGCTCCCTTGTCTTGTAGTTCATAGTCGGGGTGCAGAGTAGCAGGCGGTCAGCTGACCGTAGCGAGCGCACAGGCACGTAGGGCGTGAGTAGGTCCAACAAATGTGAAGGTGCCAGACCATTTAATGCTTTATATACAAAAAGCAGGATCTTAAATTGTTCTCTAAAAGCCACAGCCAGTGGAGATGAAACAACCGGCATTCGTAAAATGGGAAGTGTTACTGGCAATCACTTCTTCCATTGTTTATTTTCTGTTGCTGTGGACGCCTTTTGGTGCTGACCAGTGACATTTGCCGAAATGGTCAAGATATGCTGACATATTCCATAAAGGGCCAATTTAGTATGGAGCACAACGACTTAGAGAACCAAGCCATCGTACTTTCCCTGTACCTTTCTCACCTCTGGTACTCATCTCTTGGAAATGGACCTACTGCAATGAGATCTTTATTTTTTCAGTCTAGTTCAGAATGTACTGAGATTTCATTATAAAAAACTAGTTTGCAAATCAAACTATGAACCTTTAGAGGACCAAGAGGACCTTTGAGCTTAACGAGATTTGATCACATCCCTGAAGGTGTGATCTGCTGTTAAAGCATTTTGGAGTTATCACCTCACACCTCTCTGTTCACAAATATGCCAACTTTTTCTCAAATTTTCCATATTATTTGTCCACAATTGGAACACTACTGTACCTAAAAGTGTGTCTCTTATTAATATTTAAGTAGACCCCTGAGTCTTGACCTGAAGAGTTGTGCCAAGGGATGATGTCGTTTTTGTTTGGTTAACTGTACAAAAAGCCTCCTCAGCTTCTGGTTGAGTGTCCTGTGGATGAACCCATTTTTGTCTCAAGCTATTTGGAGGGTTCAAACTCAGCAGGATGTTGTTTTAAGAGGAATTTTTCTAATATAATATTTTTTGTAAATATATACTATTTTTATTCATTGTTGTTGATTCTTAGGAAAATATGTCAGTTCTTTCTCAAATGTGTTTCCTTTGTTGTTGTTCCAATTATTTAAAAAAATAATGATTCATTTGTTATATTTTTGCATAAATTTACATTTTCTCAAAGGACCCTGCAAGCATAGATTAACCAAAAAAGGGAGAAACGTAAAACTTATTTATTTTGCCTTTTTCTGTCAGTGTTGTTTCCCTTTTTTATAAATAAAACATGTTAAAAATGGCCATTATTTTTCTAAAATCCTTTAGGAAATACAGAAACCCGCGTACAATGGTTCCAAAAGAGGAAGGGTTTGTGGAAAAAATCTTTTAGGACTTCTTAAAAAGGCCAGGGAGTTTCAAAAACCTAATTTTCTTTACTTTTTTGATATTATTGGACATGTTAAAGGCATTCTACAATTCAAAACTGTATTTACCTTGTTGTATTTAGGCTGCTTGGCAGTGTCTAATGTAGCATAACAAAATGTCTCCAAACTACTTTCCTTTTTAAATCAGTAATGTTGTAATCACAGAGAAACGGTTAATTCTGAGAAAAGCTGATTTAGTCTTCACCACCTTAAATGTACATGTCCCAAGTGTGGCATCAGTAATAAATAAATGTTGGTAGCAGGCAATGCTAACCACAGAGCAATGCTAGCTGGAGCTTCTGCTAATGTTAGCCCATGCTACTGCTAATGTCCTGGTTAGATGAAAGGAAAACAACAAAGAAGAATGTCGAAGCACTCTTGTAATGTTCCAGGATGCACTGGGAATATCCAGACTATGAATGAATGCCAGATAGTCCCGCTTGCCTTTTGAGTTATCCGGGTAATGTACACAGAGTCTCTAGCTATAGAGCTATTGGTGTGAACTGGCCAATCAGGACACAGCTAATTTATTATTCACGTCATGGCTGAATGGGCGGGGCTAACCTGTCTTTCTTTTGTAGAGCTTTGTCATGGCTCCTGGGCCATTTTGAGCCCCAACAAATCTTCATAGACTCTATAGAGCCTCAAAGAATAGTTTCTTGTTGTGGAAAAAAAGCTCTAAACCCACTTTAACTGAAATCCAATGCTTGCAGAATCTGTGTAACTGTAAATATTTGCTGAATAAAAAACTGCATATAAATAATTTTGTAACTAATAATGACCCTATTAATTCAGGGTTGATGCTTTCCCAAAATAAAATTTCTTCTAATACATTCAAAACAATCTGCATCAAGTACTATAGAGATACTGGTGGTCTGCAGACACACACCATGATTGTCAGTCTTCTCACACCGCATTGCCTCTGAAAGGCAAACAGCAGCAAACTACTGAGCTTGGATTCAAACTAAGGCAGTTTTTCTTGTGTTGGAGGTAGAAGGAGCTCCTAAGCCTCTCTGTGATAATGTCTCGTATCAAAGTGTGTAATGCCAAGGTCAGGATTTATAGATCTGAGGATGCAAACAGCAGATACATCTCCAACTACCTCCAGGCAAACTTTGTTTTTGTCAGACAATCTATAATTTATGAACGAGTCGATACTCCTCGGACTTTTTGGCATGAGTTGGTTTATAATAAAATCTGATCCAGGGTTGATGTTTTGGAGCTCTCAGCTCGTTATGTTTTTATCTACGTGGGTTTTTTCCTGCTGTATTTTTATTGATTTGATTGGATTTTGATTCAGAGGACTGTGATGCGATTTTAAAACTAGCATTGATGAATCTTTATGTCCCACTTTCTTACTCTCTGTTACAATTTGGTACAAAATGTAATCAAAGCTAGTTTCTACTGACAGGCAGAACCTTGTTTAGGTGGTTATGATAAAAGTCCAAAGTGAAAAACACAGACCAACTGTTGCCATAATCTTGGACAAACTGTACAAAAGACAAAAAGTAAAAATGACTCCACTTACCAAATTGTAAATGGTAAATGGCCTGTATTTGATATAGCGCCTTCTAGAGTCCTGGAACCCCCCAAGGCGCTTTACAACACAATCAGTCATTCACCCATTCACACACTGGTGGGGATGAGCTACGATGTAGCCACAGCTGCCCTGGGGCGCACTGACAGAGGCGAGGCTGCCGAGCACTGGCGCCACCGGTCCCTCCGACCACCACCAGCAGGCAACGTGGGTTAAGAGTCTTGCCCAAGGACACAGCGACAGACTGAGCGGGGCTCGAACCTGCAACCTTCCGATTACGGGGCGAGCACTTAACTCCTGTGCCACCGTCGCCCACCCTACTTACTAACCCTAACCCTAACCCTATTTGTGACCCAATCATCCTGATTACCATAATGGATCCAAAGATAGTTTTGTCAGATATTCCTGCTGTGTGTGGTGTGTTATGAGTGCGCGGAAGCATGTCTGGAATGTTTTATCCTGGTTTTGTGGACAAACTCACATGCTAGCCAATCAGAAAGCAAGACGACAGAAGCTCTCGTCACCCTCCTTCTCCCGCAATTGTTTGTTTATTCCAAAATCACGTTTCATCTCAAGAGTTTTTGGGAGATTTTCCGTCTGACCGGCTAATATTCGAATGTGAAATCGGTTCATTTGATGAGTAGTTTTCGCAGCGTGCCCAGACACCAAAGCTGGTATGTGCTTGATTGTCGCATCGCTACGTGTGTGGTCGCTCATGCTTTGACAATTGTCTGCCGATTTTAAAATCTTGTCTAGTTCTGTTGTGTTTTGCACCTGGCTAGAACATCTGCTTCCCCATAAATATCGTACACTTCCATTTTTCCCATTTCAGTTGAGTTCAGTGAATAATGTAAAAACTGAAATGTGTGCTACCAAGGTCGATTGATGGTTAAAGGTGGATAAAGGTGAGATCTGGACTCTAAAATGCTATTTTTTTAGTCCGTAAACTGTTTCGTATCACGCACCAACCAGGTGAAGCATTTAGGATTATGTTTAATCTATGAGGACCATAAAATACCTTAGATTACCACCCATGCTTGATGTGAGTTTGTACCAAATCCATCTTTAAATTCAGTTTATTTATATAACTCCAAATCCTGACATGAGTTGTCTTAAGGCATTTCACAAAGTAAACATTCAGTTTCCTATATAAGGAACCCAGCAGATTGCATCGAGTCACTGACTAGTGTCAGAGTCTTTACAGCGATCCTCATACTAAGCAAGCATGCAGTGACAGTGCAAAACTCCCTTTTAACAAGAACACACACACACACCAAGCAGTGTTTCTATGGCTATGGCTGCATTTTGATGTCTTAGTAAAAATTTTGTTTAGTAAGAGATAAACTTCATTATCTTTATCTTAGTGAATCTATAATTAATTAAACACATGAACTAGTAGTAGCACTTTCCATGTTTCTAGATACATCCTCTTCCTCTGCTGGTAAATAAAAATAGATGTAATGATAAAATACACGGCATGAGCCTACAGCTAAACACCAAGTTAACAAGTGATTTTGTAGATCAAAAACATTATAGAGACCAAATTATTTTTACCTTTTTAACATTTTTTGACACCTATTAAACTGTATTTTATCAATGATAGATATAAAGATTGTAGCAATGGAATACAGTTAAAAATGCAATTGTTTAAATCAGATAAGTCATTAGCTGTATTTGAAGTAAACGACACACAGCAGCCCCCTAGTGGCTGGCTGCAGGATCATGTTCGAGCCCCGCCCCCACCACATAAACTAATGGGAAGATTTTGACTAGAAACTAGAAACACATTTCAGAAAAGTGTTTCCAGGTGTTCATGTTGTGGATAATTCAGAGCGACAAACAGGATACAGTAGTAGATCCATCTGTTAGTTTCACAGCAGCGATCGTCTGCGTCCATGCCTCACTTTATGTTCTTGCTCCCCCTGCAGGACAATCCGGGAGCACCTGGGGGAGCAGGAGGTCTCCATCTCCCTGACCATCGATGCTCTGGAGGAGAGCGACCTGGGCAACTACTCCTGCTACGTGGAGAATGGTCACGGGCGGCGGCAGGCCAACGTTCAGCTCACCAAGAAAGGTGAGTCAGAATCTTTGCACATGAAAAGTCAAATTGGGAGAAAACTCTTCCTCGTGAAGCCTGAACTCCAAATATCCTTCAGGATGATTTCTGAAGCACAATGCTTTTGTTGTTTCATTTTATAAAAGGGTTTTCTCATTGTTTTAGTGTGATTCTGAGAGGGTTTGTGTGTGTGTGTGTGTGTGTGTGTGTGTGTGTGTGTGTGTGTGTGTGTGTGTGTGTGTGTGTGTGTGTGTGTGTGTGTGTGTGTGTGTGTGCGCGTGTGTGCGTGCGTCCGTGTGTGCGTGCGTGTGTGTGTGTGTGTTAGCTGCAGCCTTTAAGTGTTGAATACATTTACATAGTAAGATCCTTCTCCCCTCTTTAAAGCCTCAGATCCAGCTTTGATGCCGGCCTAGTTCCTCAACATTTGCTGCAATAAAGAGCTTAGCACTGCACGGTCAAATCTTAAATTCTGCATAAAGTGTCTGCAGAAGATTGTTCCCAAAAAAATGAGAAAAAGCTGCAAAAATCCATCTACTTCACGGGTGTCCAAACCTTTAGAGACAAGGGCCAAAACCCTGAATTAGAAAATCCTCACGGTCCTCAAATATATGGGATTTTTGTTCTGTTTGATTTAGCAAAATTATTTTAAGATCCTCTTTCCAACTCCTAAAAATAGGTGAGAAATGAGCCTAATCCTCTGAAAGGATCTCACTAACTTTAACATTCTGCAAATGCAACTGGAAGCCAAACAAAATCACTCCAAGGGCCACTAATGGCCCACGAGCTGCTCTTTGGACATGCCTGATCCACTTGTTTTGCTGTTGTTGCAAATTTCATTTAAAACCAGTTTTTGTGACAGTTGCATCCTTAACATATGGGGCATAAAAATCCAGGATGCTGTTTTTTTTACATGCAGCAGCAACAACTTTTAACTCTTTTTGGGCTTTTTGCCTCTGCTCTCACTACCCTCTCAACAGAGATGCAGGGCAGAGAAGAGGTGATGAATCGCCCTCTGCCACGTGCCTCCGTCAAATCCAGCTTTTTAGACCTAGTCCACACGTAGCCGGGTTTTTTTAAAAACGAATATCCGCCCCTCCAAAAACTTGCATCCACACCACCTCGTTTAAAAAAAAAACTCTGTCCACACGTACCCGGATAAATACGTTGTTATGGACATGCCAGACCTGTAGGCGGCAGTACTTCCCCCGTTCTTAACCTCGTCCTTCGTCTGTGGTCTTCCGCAAGGAGCAGTGATTCTGCTTGCAAAAACAAACAAGCAAAAAGCGCTTGGACAATTCTCTGAGGGCATCCATGCTGTCGGCTAGTGTAAACACAGGTCGCACACGTGATGTCAGCATTTTTTTGTCGCGGAAAGTGACGTTGCGGACCTTAAAACTCCAGTTTTGTCTGTCCACACGCAAACACCCAAAACGGAGAAAACGCAGATCTTCACTTTGGCCGGAGTTTTTAAAAAGATCCTTTTTCGTGTGAAAAAACTCCGTTTTCGTGTGGATGACAGGCCAAAACGTAGAAAAATATCTACGTTTTGGCAGATCTCCGGCTACGTGTGGACAGGGCCTTAGTCTATAACAGCTCATTTGCCTTGATCTGTCCCACTGCGCCATCGCTACAATATGGAGAACCACCCCGCTCTAATCCATGCAGCCTGAGGAGCAGCTGGCTCACTGGGCTGTCCACAGATGTGAGCTGAGAAGTAACGCAGGAGGGAGAAGTGGAGGTCAACCAACAAGACGGATACAGATTTTTAGAATCCAGAGTCCACAGTTCATATTTACGTGTTTTTACAAACTATTAACTTCAGAAAGCTAAAGCTAAAAAAGAAAACATGGTTAATTTTATGAGTTAGCCATTGGGCGTGATACATATTTATACCTATTCTTTGGAAAGCTTTATGAGATTATACCGAGAATGAAATTTAGAATCTAGAAGAGACATTTTCTGTCTAGTTATTTGAATATTTAAGGCACCGGAAATGAGAGTTGAGTTGCTACAGCTTAATCTGCTGATTGTAAAGTAGTTGTAGTGGATTTATTTATTTAATTCCACTGATTAAGAGTTTTTCTGCGACTGATTCCAGTGCCGATTTAGAGAAACCACGCAAGCCAATTCATTTTTGATGTTTGATTTTGGCCTCAGGAAAAAGCAATCAAAATGAATCCACAATGCGATCTAGAAGCTTTTCTTTTTTAAATTGTGATCTTATCTCCTCAGCTTCTGTTTGCGTAACCTTTTCTGTCAAAACTAGATAAATGCTAGAATACAGGAGTTACAGTTGTACCATTTTCCTGTTAAGTACCACACAGGGGAAGTAAAGGTTTTGACAGAATTTGGCTTATTAGGGGTTTTTATGGCCAATACCAATTTTTTATAACTCAGTAAAGTAGGTGACTGGTTTATGAAGCAGACTATTTTGTTTTTCTCTTCATCATAAATGTAACGTTTTGCTTTATACACATCAAAATTTGCTATCTTGGTTTCAGGGGGGAGGGGTATTCATATGTAGTTTCTGCCCGTTAAGCAACAATAGACAGCTACAGCTTGACTCTTCCACATTCTAGTCAGAACTGACAAAGCTCCTCAGATGTGAAGAGAAACTTCTTCAAGAAACCAACAAAGTCTAGTTGCCTTCATTTGATCCCCTTTGGACTACTATGACCTGGAGGACTGAGAACCTTCGCCAGCAGATTGATTTAAAACAATAATATAAACAGAAAAAAGTCAATAATTCTAGTTTAGTCCTTGAAGCTTTATGGATCTGTACACCCAGCCCTAAGATTTACATATTTATGGTTTTTAAATTTGTATGAATCCTGATTAAAACTTTAAAAAATTGTTAATTAAATATTTATAGAGTTGAAAAAAGCCTAACTATAAATCAAGACATTTTCAAGTGATCAGCTACAATTGTTTTCCCTGTCGGGGGCTTTTGTGGTCATGACTTCTCTGTTTTGTAAATATTACATGGAAAAAATTGAGTATTTAGTTGAAATTTTCTGGTAAAAATTTTTTTTTATCAAAAGCTGATTCCAATGCTGATTTTTACAACTCTGGACATCTTTGGTCTCACTTGTCTTGTAGTTGATAGTTTTTGACTAATACATATTAAAATCTAAAAATAATACACTTTACCGTCTACTAGATTTCTTTAAATGCCAATTTTTTACTGTTTTAATGAATGATTAGCATTAAACTAAAGTGTTTGAATGAAAAAAGGCACCTTTATGAAGGAAGGATATTGATGACAGTGTTGCATGAAACTGTTGCTGCTTTTCAGCTTATTTAAGCTCAAGTCTGACAAGAACCATTTTTAAATGATAATAGACTAAACAGTTTCCAGATGTTGTTGTTAGCCGTAGCACCTCTCTCAGAGGAGACGAGTGGTATTTTTTTGTTCTTTTGTTTGTGCGCGTGCACATGCGTCCATCGGGCAGGTTTGAATGAAGGTCATCACCAGACAAGCGTGATGAAGCGGCACGAGCCACGCTCGTTAGCTCTCAAGAACCTCATCCCTCATCATGGGAGCTGTCAGCCTGATGGCCACCGTGGTGGGCTGGGCATTGCACACTTACAAAGAAGTTAGACGTACATCAGTGATGTATAGCGACGTGGCCGAGTCTTCTCCATCTGTGTTTATGCGTGCTCTGCAGTCAATTCAGCCTTTTACTGCTCCGCATTAGTCAGCCGATGAAGGCTGACCACCCAGACTTTGTGAGGCGTAGCCAGGAGGAGATGTTGGGCTGCTAAAGATGGAGTGGCATCAGACAGGAAACTGGTGAAAAGGCCTTGAAGGTAGAGGTTGGATCATGAAAAAGGAGATGAGCTGGGTTTGAACAGGCAACTCAATGGATCACAGAGCTATGGTTGGTTAAATCTACAACAGCAAATCTGCTAAACCAGCTAGCTTAGAACAAAATGTTCATGCCTCTTAATCAGTGTTGGGAGAGTTCATTTTAAAAACGAACTAGTTCGTTTCTTAGTTCATACTAGAAAAAATTTAGAACTTAGTTCACTGTTCTAAAAATGAACTAGTTCATAGTTCATTTTTCTCCTATATATATATATATATATTATATATATCTTATGAAATAATTTTCCAATAGTTGGCACCCGTTCAATCCACACTCATACCCAGCAGCCGTTTTTACCCTACAGTATCAATAACATAGGGAAAATAATATTTGAACAGTTTTTTATGGGAAATTATTAAACAATCTTAGGAAGCAGGCTGAGGTAGCAAACTGAAAGTGCAATATTAAAAGTGCAAATCATTACAAAATGTATAATCTTTCAGTTAAGTCCCCTTTCAATTTTTCTGAATGAACTTTGACTCCTGCACACAGCAAAGACGTAGAAAAGTAGACGCCGCACCAACCGCTACTGCCTATGTTTGGCCGCATTTACAGGTTCTACTTTTTATAAACTCTATGGTTAACAGGAAGTTTTAGCTAGGCTTTAGTTCCGGAAAAGCTCCGTGGAGAACTGGAGCTAGAACGGCGAAAGAACTCGTTCGTAAACCCGTTCACGCACGCCAGGACAAACGCACTCACTTTTACGTTCATCTGGCAAAATACGAACGAGTTCAGTTCACGTTCACGAAAAAAAAAACAATCAAATTCACAAACGGTCGTTCAGTGAATGCGTTCGGGCACAACACTGCTCTTAACTTTCTAACATAGAGTAGCTATAAATAGTTTGTGGAGATTAAAAAAAGACGAAAAAATAACAAAGTGGTTCTCTTGCAATCGTCTGAAAATGTCAGCCAATAACACGGCTCGGTCTGAAACCAAAGTTTGGACCGTTCGGTTCCATCCAAACCGAATCACTGCCCATCCTCCACTCATTACACGCTCAGGCATTTAGCAACAGATCATCACTGGTTCTCTGCTCAAAAAAATCAGAGGAGAAACAGCCGGCTTCTGCCACTTCAGCTTTAGAGTCCCAAAAAAACTCCATTTGAAGTGAAAGAAACCACAAGATGTTTGAACCTAGAAAACAGT